TCTCCCGATTCCAGCAAGGAATAAGTTTACTCTTATTTCTTATATTTTCTTTGTGCTTTGAGGTTTCTTTAGTGATTGTATTTGTTATACGGTGTAGGGTTGCTAGCCCTATGCCCAAGCTTCCCTCTTTATTCAGGCTTAGGACTAAACAGTAAACTAGGTGAGGTAATTTTTGGGGTTGACGTTTTGTAAATTTTCATTTTGATTGGCTATGTAGTATCAGCATGGACTCCTGGCCTTCTACAGAAAATAATCCATCTGTCTAGTAGTACGAGTTCGCCTTCAGAAATCACCTTAGCATAAGCTTTAAACACCATGATTGCAGGTGCTTTCAGTCTTACCACTATCCAATAGATCTTTCTGGCATGGTAGGATCTCAAGGTACAATTAATACATGCAATATGATTAGCTGTGTCACTATGATACGTAATTCTCATCAGCATGTTAAGGTACCAGATATCAGTCTCTCACTAACAGAAGAGCTAGATAAGTAGACAAGAATGTCTAAGGTTCTTTATTGGAACAGCTGTAGGCATGTTAGTGTTCATGGTAAAATATTAGGTGAGCTGTAAACTTCGAGTGGCGCCCATCAAGTATATTTACTCTTTTTATTCCTAGTTAACTTTTCATAGATGTGCTTATATAGCCCAACCGCTTCATATCACTGGAGGCTCCTTAGTAGACCTATAAGAGGCAGATGAAATAATCCTGTCAGATAAAGATGTTGTAAGTATCCAGTCTTTTGAAAACTTTGAGTGGCAGTTCGAGGACATTTAGCATGCCTTTCTAACTAATCATATGTAACCTGTTACTTCAGGGCTGGTTTGCATTGTTGCCACAGCTAAGAATAGAAAGTGAACTGACTGAATACATTGGTGGCTTCACTTAGTTAGAAAGTTGGGTCACCAATCCTAAATGTTTGGTGACCGGTAAAATCTTCGCATGAACAGACAGGACTTAGTTGGCCTCTTCCAAAGTACGCCATTTATGGCATCAGAGATATATCTAGTAGCCTACTAAGCCTTGAAAGAACCATACAACAGTTTGCATTTTCTATTTTGTCTCCGCGAAACGTGGTCATCAAGATGGAGGACATAAGAAGGGTTCAAGTGTTAGACAACCGCTGTCTCCATAGTAATGGCTGTATTTTGAAACACCATGTCAATAGTGTAGAAACCAGGAGTATATTTTTTGGCAAAAAGGTAGGTCAGCTCATACGATTGTAAGCTTTTATCGTCTCAAATATCTGAGAAATGTGTTACACATACCTAGTCACCGTCTGCAACGGTGCAAAATGTTAGCTGAAGTAGGTCTAGGATGGGAAAACGTTGAAGGTTATGAAGTCTTTAACCATAGGTCTGATTCGTATAAGTAAATGTACATTTGCCGGCTGGGGTCCACTTCACCTCTGACATCAATGGTTGGAGACTCTAAGCTATATATTTCAGAATCGGTCCCACTAATGCAAATGTATCTACATGCTGTCTCTATCTGTATACTCAATTTCGTCGATATCTTTCCTTATGCTTTCCATGTAACCTTTTCCACTTTCCTCCCTATTTTTATATCTCTCAGCTTGATATGCTGATATGGAGTGTAGCTATTTGAACCGTTTTGCAGGAATGCGATGTCGTATTGTTGATATTACCTGACTGTCAACTGATGTAGATTCTTAAATGCCTATCAGAGAAGTGCTTATAATTAATTGTCTTCAGGACAACAGAAATAAAGTCTTACAAATTTATGGTCATAGTAATATTAAAAATAGAATACTGTCTTTCATCCAGGCCAAAATGGCAATGAACTAGATCTCAGAGTTTTTGAAATGTAGGGAATTTAATATGAACTCGTCGACCTTTTCTAGTTGGTTCCATGTGTTGACTTGGTGAACTGTAGTCTCAGCATTTTTCAACTTCTTCCTTAGTTGGTATTGTACTTTAATTAGGTTATCTAGTACAATTCACTGATCAGTATTAGTATCGGTTTCAAGAATCCTAAGGTTGAAACTTCATCTCTGGGGATATTGCTGTCCAGATTCATAATATGAGGCATAAACTTATATTCATATCTCCTCTAAAATAACATTGAACATATTCTAACTTGTCATTTTCCGTTTTTGATTGGTTTTGGCAGAATTAATCGGCGGCTGTTTGCATATAGGTTTCTATATGGATGTCTCATAATAACTAGAATTTTATCTTAGTATTAAGGTCAATACGTTTGGTCCAAATCTATTAGTAATAAAAGATAACAAGTATCCGACTATACCAGTTACACAAGGAGTGGCTATCGTAACTCTTTAATTACTCCTCTGGATAACGTTTGGTGTTTGAATTGATAGTTGCTAAATTTCCTACTAGCTACCATTGGTCCATTACACAGAACAAAAGTTTTCAAAACTTCTCAGTTCAAATGTTTTTAATCACTCACAAGAAAAAAGAATCGGTTTTCAGTAACGACTAGAAGATTAATTAACTATCTTCTTGGAGAGTAATTGTATAGTTTGGAATTTGACAGTGAAACTGTACTTTATAAGATTTCTAAGCTTTCTGGGTTAAGGCATTTCTTCTACTACGGATATTTAGTGTTTGAATATACGTAGCATAGAAAGATATGTATTACGCTTTACTATCCACTCATCTATCGATTTTAAAAGTTTCAGTTAGGTCAAAAAATGCTTAACGATTTCGTTCTGTGGTAATGCAGCGGTTTATTACTAGTTGATTGAAAAAATTAATAATCAATATTCTGCATTGTACAGGTAATTTTCATAACTATGTAAATAATCATCTCTATAGCTGAACATGAGACAGCATCAGCTGACCATAAACCGTTTGATTTTCTATATTCTAGTAAACTGCTATTCACAAGTAACTATATTCAAGTATTCTATTGGTGTACACCGTACTTCAAATAAGACAAAGTATTTTTTCTATTTGACAATTCGCACACAATACAGGGTCATTTTTAAAAACAGCTGTAATTTACAAAATATTTAGATCCTGTGTGATTCCATTTCTAAGAGGTGAACTTAACACAGATTTCCATAATATATGATACCTGGAATTATGGAAACTGGCTTGTAAAAAATTAACACCAGTGTATAGTGACCAAAAGATGTCGTCTGAACTAGTGTGACAATGTTTAATTCTCATGGTTTATAACTGAATGAATTTAAAGTAAATCCAGTATAAAATGCCGTCTGAAATGTCATACATTGAGTTAGAAATTAGACAAATAGACGTAGGAATTCTACCTGAAAGAGTAAAGGAATTACTACTAAAATGCATCATGAATGTTCGTTTTATGTTAAACAACGAAATATATCGACAAGTAGATGGGGTTGCAATGGGCTCTCCACTGATTCCTATACTAGGGGGCATCTTTTCGACAAAACTTGAAAATGGCACACTTAGGGACACACTGGATAAAATAGACAATTAGTACTGGTATAGGATGATACATTCATCATTTGTAAGAATGGCTACAATAAAGATGATCTCTTAAATACCCTCAATAATGTCCACCTGCAAGGAACAACAAGGGAATAGTACTCCTTTCTCAGATGCCCTCATCACCACAAAAACGGATAGGTATATTAAAAAGAATATTTTTCGAAAAAACACATGGACTGGCCAATATATTCAATTTCATAGCTTCACACCAATTCAATATCAAAGAAACCTGGTCAAATGAATGCCTGAATTACAGAATAAGAAACATTTGTCTTGATGATTGTGTTGAAGAATAGGTGAATTAGCTGAAGGTAATATTGCAGCAAAATGGTTATCCGCTTAACTTCATAAATAAACATATGTCGAAACCTAGAGAGAAGATAAAGAAAGACAATATTTCTGAGAAGCCTATATTGTTATCTTACACTAAGTTTCAAAGGTGATGTTGCCTCGGATATCTTGACACCGACTCAGTAGATCGGTCGAAAAGACATTCAATGCAGCGAAACCTTTTGTCAGCTTCTCAACCAAACCATTACTGACACAGAGAACCAAGGACACGTTACCTATAATGGTCACTTCAATGTGCATTTATGAGTTCAACTGGTCCTGTGGAGCTAGCTACACAGACTGTACTCAAAGGGCTCTATTCATGCGTGCTCGTGAACATGTGCCATCTTGGTTAGGGAACAGTGCAATCCTCTCACACCTGGTAGACACCGGACATCAGATTAATGTAGATCATGCTTTCCTGTGATATACCGTGTCCCGTGCAATCCCTCTAAAGGTGTACGACTTCGGATCTTATCCATAGCCGAGGTCATAGGGATCAACACAGGAAAACCGGACCTATGTGTTCAAAAGAAATATGTACATCCACTTTGTTTACCTTGGTCCATAACAGAATCAACTTTTCAACCACAAATTGTATATATATATAATGATATTGGCAGTAAACAGCATCCAATAATTTGCACGAATGAGATAAGTTATGTTTCAGTGAGAAAGCAGAACTACACATGTTGTTTAAATTTCACTCTTAAAAGAGAGCTATTTCGGTAACGTAAACGAATCGCATAAATTGCGCTGTAAAGAAATATTGTAGAATAATTGATGATTTAAAAGTATTTTAAGATATATGAGATAATCCAATTTACTATGCTTTTTTGAGTAGGATGTCTTTCTTTCTACCAGTCATCATAAAAGTATTAAGCAAAGATTATATGCCTAAGCATGCTTGTCTTGTAGGTTATTTTAATGCACAAAGTAACGCTAGTCTATAGAAGATTCCTTGTTAACTTGTATCGACTATGGATGATTACACTGGATGGGGCTCATGAAGTTGTAATTTGAAGTGAAATCCATCAGTTTAATATATGCTAATTTTATAATCCCGAAACACTCAGTTGTTCTCAAAAGATATAGTTTTGCATAAAAATCCTCTACAGTAACCTTTTGGTCAGCCTCTAGCACTTTTTTAATGACAACCGTTATCAGAAATTTCAAACCTGTAAAATTATCAGCTTTTGACGTTTTTGTGTTTAGATTTCTGGAGAGATGTACAGTTAACATTCAGAAAACTTGGAGAGGATATTTAGGTCGTAAACACTATCGACGTATATTATCGGAAGCAGTTGTTGAATTTCGTCAAAATAAATTTAGTTTGGCTGCAGCTAAAGTAATCGAATTCAATGTCTGTGTACATATTCACAGATTCAAAGTGCATGGAAAGGTTATTTAACAAGGAAATATGTGTTCAACTTTTATTCACGTAAAGTTTACCTATCAGCATTAATCGATGTTGGAGAATTCGTCAAGTATGTTATATATGAAATATGAATTTGTTTGTTTTTATACAACCATCAAACAAAGGAATCAGTTGAATGAATATGAAAAAGAAATGAAACGATTGAAATTTAAAGAAGAACAAGAATGTGAACGGAAGCGAATATTAAATTGGGCAAAATCACATCATTTTCTTGTTTCTACATACTGTCAACCAGGAATATATCAACACAGTGATAAAACGTAAGCCTGGTTGCTCAAGGAGTAAACTTTTATCATGTTTTATTTTCTTGCTACTATAATATGGTTGAGTAGTATGCTGTTCATCTAATAATTAATATACTATATATTCATTTGACTTCCCTTCATGATCTATTGTGGAATCTAAACTATTTCAGAAACTTAAGTTTTAGTGGGTTAGTATGTTCCAAATCAATCAAAAAAATGCATGAGTCATCCATCCAATAGATGGCTGTTAGTCTAACTTGTTGAGGTAACTGTGGACTTCAATCCAACATTTTTAAAACGGGATTGGAATGACTGTTTACACTTACAAATTCAGTGACAGACAAACTTGGGATTATAGGGTTCTACCAACCTAAGTTAGCAGAACAATTTGCCCTTTCAAATACCATATGCTGATTATTACGTCACGGACACAAATTATATATATTAGGGTCAGTCAAGTTATAAATGCACAAGAATTGAGATAAATATTGTGAGGCTTTTCAGATAAGCAGTCTGTAAAGAAGCTCAGCTATTTCCGTGCATATACTAATCCTACTTATATGAAAACGCAAGGTGAAATCAAAATCATAAAGGCGAATGTAGTTAGGTGGGGAGAGAGACTGGTTGATGATTCTCTGTTCATAGAAACAATGCCTGATACATATATATAACATGTATATAACTGAATGACCCAGCACTGGATTTAAAGATGTAGGAGGTCATGTTACTTTTTAAAGTGGTAAGACTATGTATAGAAAGGAGTTTTGGGTATGTAAAAACCTTACTTTGTTTAGGAATAATGAACTTTGCAAGTCATTTAAGCTTAGCATGAATAGGTTTGTGCAATATGAACGATCTTCAGATGTCAGGGCAATTTGCGTCCACCAGGTATTCCTGGTAGTGAATTATACTTGTTTGACTAGATGTCGCTATTGTTTCTAGTTAGTTAATATCTATCTAGGACAGTGTAAAGTGCATAAGTCATGCAAAAGCTTCAATATATTAAGTTATTATGTCACTAAGTACAGCAGAGTTGACCTCATCTTCAGTGTGTTTATTGTAGGGATAAGTAACGGATGTCGTGACTACTTGAGACTCAAATATCTGTAGAATTGTGTGCACAGAAAGTTAACATAGGTGTCCCATGGTGTGCACTATATAGCGTAATAGTGGGTATGTGAATTGTTATAAATTTCTGTTGACTAGATACAGTTTCGTCTTTTAGGTTTCTTGTAGTTTTTTATGTATTTCGACGTTTAAATTGTCTCTCATTCAAAAGACTACTCTAGACTAACGTGGATTGTCAGACTATTGTTATTGATACTGAACGATAATTGAAGGTGAAATGAAAATCTTAGTCCCAGCAGTATGCGAAACTGCAACCACTGTGTTACTAGGTCTGTGCTGCACCAAATGACCTACAAGACTCACCCACTGACCAGATCTTAACTTTAATTGGATCACTTAGGGTTTTTAACTGGCTGCCATGTGAATCCATAATGCGCAACTGTTCATTCTATATGAATGCAAGAGAATGAATTTCTTCAAATTTTCAATTTGCAAATTTCAGTTGGCTATTCGTCTAAGAAGGTGAGAATAACTGATTAACTAATGACTCAGATTTGTTTATTAAGGAAAAGCATTAAGAGATATTTATCACCATTGTCATCATCTATCAACATAGGACCAGGCATTACTGTGTAACGGTCCGAGTTGCCACACTTCATATCAGTACATCAAGTAAAAGGGCAGTCAAGTGGAAGATGAAGAAAAGAAAATTCAATTAAAGGAAATCTAAGGTACTAAAAGAGAGAAATGAAGAATGAGAAAATGGTAAGATTCGGTATAACATCAAGATGATGATAATGTGTGTATACATCTGCGACACTGATATCGGTTCTGGGCCATATCACCTAGAGTCTCCAACCACTGGTTCCTATTGCCCTGCGGACCCCAACCGGCTGGTCTTCACTGCCACACATGGCTCAAACCAACAGTCAAAGACTTTATACATTGATTCCATGTGTTAGTCTGGCCACCTTGGGTCACGTAACTTATGTCCCAACCGCCTCAGTCGACGAAGGTTCACAACCGTGTCAACTGATTTATCTCTTCTCCCTAAAACTCTACACCTGACTTCTGTGTTAACCACGTGGTGACTCCACGGAATACGGCCTATACTACGGAGGCTACGGTGGTCAAACACCTGAAGTCTTCACATGTCTTCCACCTTCAGTGGCCATGTTTCACAACCATACAGTAAAATAGACCGGACTGCTGTGCAGTACACGTGACCCTTAATAGACAAACGGATATCACGGTGGCGCCACAAGTGGAGTAAGCTGGCAAAAGCCAGCCCAGCCCTTTGTATCCACGCTAAAATTTCAACGGCCACTGAGCCACCAGGGCTGATCCTAGTTTCCAGGCGCGTGAGGTGGTCGACACTTACAGTCACTACACTCTCTATTGTTAGCCGTGGCACTGTTGAAGACCAATCCTGAAGCAACAATTTGTATCTGGGGGGTGAAAAACGCATCCCAAACATTCTCAAATTCCCACTCAAAGTGTTCAGAAGACTCTGCATCTTGTCAACCTCTTCACCTAACAGGACTATGTCATCTGCGTATTCTAGGTATAACAAAAATTCTTCCACGATTAGGTCAACCTCTATGTTATCAGGTGCCGGGAGGGAGACATCCATAAGAATATCTTTGGTAAAATTGAATAACAATGGAAACAGTGGGCACCCTTGATGGACAGCACTCAACGAGCACATCTGCCCGGACATCTCACCATAGGTTATAACAAGCCCACAGTTGTTCGAGTAGAGAGCCTTCAATAATGTGATGTACTTACTCGGCACGCCTTTCAGTGAGAGACATTGCCATAAGACTTCTCGATCAACAGAGTCGAATGCTGCCACCTTCAGGTTGAGAAATACAGCTATTGTCGGGCGTCAGTAAGCGTGCTTGTGTTCCAAAGCCTGGTGCAGTGCGAATATTTGGTCGATACACCTGCTCCCGGGTCTAAATCCCGCCTGGTTTTCTCGGGTTTGCTGTTTCTGAGCTCCACTCAAGCGTCAAAGAATTATGGAACCTAGAATATTAGACATTACTTTCGTCAGGCTGACTCCTCTATAGTTATCACAAGAGGGCTTCTTACCTTTCTTGAAGACTGGGATTATCAGTAATTTAGATCGGTCAGAGGGGATCGTATTTGGTTCCCATATACTGGTTAACACTTCCGTTATCATGATTAAGAGCACTGTACCAACATCCTTGTATACCTCTGGAGTTAGTCCGTCTGGTCCTTCTACTCTTCCTCGTTTCAAGTTATCTACAGCTTTCTCGACTTCTGAAAGTGTTGGCCGCCTATCTCAATGTTTCATTCAGGATTCAACTGGATAGCAAGGGACCCAATGGTGACTGGAGGCCATTTAAATGTTTCCTTGAAGTGTTCTGCCCATCGTTCCTGTCGTTTCCTCTGCGAGTGAATCGTAGACCTGTCCTTCGCCGCTATGGTATCACTAACCGTTGTTGACCTTTTCTCCCCAGTTTCCTTGATAAATCTAAATAACTGTCCTCTGTTACCAATCCCCGCTGCCTTTTCCATCTTTTAGCCTTCTCTGCCCGCCACTGTTGGCAGTCGTTGCGCAGACTTTTTTTCAGTCTACTTTTAAGTTGTGCTCACTCTTCACGTGCGTCCATTAGTTCGGAAGAAGCTGCTGATATCCACTAGCTCTTTTTAGCCACTATTTCATAGTTGGCTACGGTCTTCCACGCTGCTTTTACAGCAGACTGGAGGTGCCAACAAACTTCTTCTGGATCAGTCATAGTGTCCCGATTACTGCCTAGCCAATTTTTCACTGAACACAGCTTTGGTGTTTTCGTTGTCCAGCTGCACTCATAATGGTTTCGTTGACAAATGTTTTCTACGTCCATTGAGATGCAGGTATATACGCGCTCGTACCAACTCTTGGTTGCTATCCAAACACGTACTCCGGAAAGAGCGGCAGCCTTCCCCCGATTTTCTCCAACGATAACTGATAGAAATGTGGTCTATTTGTGTCCATCACTGAGTTGAGCTCAGTAAACGTCAGGTCAGACGTTGTTTTTCTTTGTGTCTGAAATTCGTGGCAACTAAAAATAATCGGTCGTCTGAGCACAGCTGTAGTAGACAATCACTGTTATCTGTTCGTTCAACCGGGATTCCAAAAGTACCACCTAAGTTTTTTTCTGCCTCACTCAGTCTATCTACTTGTGCGTTGAAGTCACCTGCAACAACCACCACGTCTGAACGTTTGGCTTTCGAAAGGAGGCTAGACAGTTAGTTTACAGTAGAACTCGTCCTTCACTTCATCCGAGCTGCAGTCAGTAGGTGCGCAAGTAGAGATTACGAAGAGACAACGGCGAGTCACCCTGTTCTTTTTGAATCTCACTGTGCCGTTCAGTTGGATAGCACAGAGGCGACTGTCAATTGGGATCCAGTTTAGTAATGAGTTTTCTGCCCTAGTGCTTAGTGATGTGCCTACACCTGCAAGACTGCGAGAGCTAGCTATCGAATATCCAGAAACTTGAAGGGTGAAATTTGCTGATTCATCAGGTTGACCGGAAGAGGTTAGGTGGATAACCGCACTTAGGTCCTGTATGCGTGTCTCAAAAACACAGCACACATCCATGGCCCGAGTTGCTAGAGTTTTGGCCAACGAAGCCTGCTGACCAATTTGACGGAGGGTTCGGACATTAAAGGCCCCGGCGTGTACTTTGGAGCGTAGTTTAAGGAGACCAGGGATGCTATTCTTTGGATTCAGATCGTTGTCGAAGGTTGCAGAGCTAAGAGAAACTGAAGATGATGTAGTATTGTTAGTTGAGAGACGTGAAGGAAGATTAGAATGTAATGATGGGGGAGGTGGATAACAGTCTGAGGAAACTTGAGTGCTGACAGAGTTGTGAGGGTGGTTGACACTTCCCGGCTGCCCACACCGTGGAAGGCTATTTCTTCTCAAGGTACCTGAAAGGGATTTGTTTGATCGCAGAGCCCATCGGACATCTGCTTGAGGCCTGTCTTACTCAGCCTTTTGTGTATGGTTGTTTTGGGTCCGGATGGTTGGAAAAAACGACAAGTGAACCAACAACCCTGGCCCGGCAGACCATGGGGTATGGTGGAGTGTGTTATTTTTGGGGCAGACCTTTTCTAACCCCCGCCTCCACTTCCACTGAGAAGGCAGCATGAGCATGGCACTGCTGGTCATCCAAGAGAAACGCCTTACTGCTGTCACACCCCATCCAGCTAGCAGTAGTACGACTTCGCCCCCAGAACCCCATCAAAGCGTAGTAGTTTACACCACAACGGTAACTGCTTTTCGTCTTGCCACTATAGAACAGATCTTTCTGGTTTGGTACGACCTTGAGGGAACAAGAGTTCCACCAGTATAGCTCGTTGGGTCGTTGTGATATGCAAGCCTGACCACTACGTCAAGGTAGTAGCTATCGGTCGGGAGAGATGTACATGGTGTAAAACATTTTGGCTAATGGAATTATAGTACACAGAGAATTTTGTTAACTTCAATTCAAACATTTGCGTGTTTATCTTATTTAATTAGACCAAGTGACAGGGAACGGCTTTTGCTATCAGTTCGTCAAGAATTGATCAAAGATAAAAAGAAGAGACCACAAAATACTGGATTGTTTTCAACGTCATCATCATCTAAAGTTGATTCAGTTTCATCTTGCGGATCTGAAAAGGAGTCAAAACAACTTCCAAAAATAAAAGGTCCATTCAGAAACCCAGAAGAAGTTAAAAAGTGGATAAATACACCTTTAAGTTTGTCATTGCGGGTATCCACAGACTACTTTTCATTGGAAAAAGCTCAGCAATCATGGAAGTCAGAGGAATGGAGTAATAGATTACACGATAATAAGTGAGTTTAGTTCATTTAAGTGTAATGCTTGTAGATGCACACTGTGAAACACAGATACCTTATCCAACAGGGTAGTTACAAGGTCTAGATATAAGCGAAGCGATGGGATATTAACCCGCAAGTTCCTTCATTTCCTTTAAAAGAGTGACTATCTTCCACTACTCGGAAGCAATATTTGTCCTCTAAGAAATATGTGTAAATATTGAAGGACTTAGGTATTGTTTAGCAAATACTCTCACTGTTATATGTTTGTTTCATAGTATCATTTATGTTTAAAATTAGACAACCTGTATGTGGAAACCGTTTTTGGCGATCAAGCCTCTCCGAAAAACATTTAGAGTTGACTTGTTGAAACATCTCTAACTTATAAATTGTTGAAAAGGATCAGTGGATGTGCTGATGATATGTGGAGTAGAGATGCAGTCGAATAACAAGGTTATGCAAGCGAATTGATGTAGGGTAACGGAGAGTGTAACATTCTATCCAAACAGACTATATTTTTCGATTCAGTGATGCGTCAAATTTTCATCTAAGTCGTTAAAACCAAGGATTGGTTAAACTTAATGCTAAATGAAGTGGACTAAAATCTGCTGTCCATCGCTACAAAACAAATGTGACCTTCTTCCGAAATCAGTTTGAAGGATTTTGAGTCGACGATCCGGAAATGATTATGTCCCATTGGACCTAAAAAGATATTGATCAGCCTGCATAGTCATACTGTCTAGTAAGAGAGACCAGTATCATTGAAACCTTGAAGTAGATGTACGTCTTTTGTTCTGAACAAGATAAAACGTTGGACGCCTTGTTTAGTCTCACTTTTGCTCTTGTTGGATTTCATCAATAAAGTGAATCTCTAACTTTAAGGCTATACTAGTCACCATTGTAAACGGCAACCGACTCCTAACTAAGAATAAATAATTTAAAAATCCACAAGATTAGTTAGAACAAGAATAATTTGAGCGAATAGTTGTTTTCAATAACTTCTTCATCAGACCCTACAGTTATAAATCCATGAGAATAAGATAAATACAATAGATAAAAAAAGGCATGACGTACAATTTTTACTATATTGAAACATTCAGTGTTATGGATGAGTGGAGATTAAATCGAATAGAATACTGGGATTGTTATCAGTCTAGTGTGTTAGTTGTGCAATGAAATCAATATTGACAGAATAATTACGAAATGAGGCGACAAAATCTACAGATAATGTTTCATTTGTATACATTTATTGGGGGAAGAATGTGTGTATACTAAGGGTCAAATAATAATAATGTAGCTACAGAAATATCAGTGAAAACAAGCCCTCCGACGAAATCAGAAATCCTGAATGCCATAAAGTTACTCAAAGCTGGGAAAGCAACAGAATCAGATGGAATTCCTCTAGAAGTACTGAAAACAGACGCAGAGACAACAGTGGATATCAGTCAGTGTGGTGATCTACTGCACTGTACTGCACTCAGCATAAAATGTGAACAAGATCCGGATTTTCAACACCAATTCAGTCAAGCCAGTCAGTGCTTCCATGTGATGGTTGAGAGACTTGATGCGTTACACAAAGCATTTCCAACAAACTGCAGATATGCATCAACACCTACAGCCTACACTCACTGGATACTGAAGATCAAATCAGATGGCCAGAATAATAAGAATAAGCAAGGAGGAACTCTGAGCTGGCAACCAACCAACCAACAACCTATCACCCAACAAATATTCAGAATAAAGTGGATATGGATTAGGCATACACTGAGGAGACCGTTTGGGGACATCACGTGTCAGTCCAGGTTGTCGAGTGGAACCCGCATGGGAAACGACGAGTTGGGCGTCCCAGATGAGGTTGACATGGAGGAGATGGTGTGAGGGAGAAATGAAGGCTTGTGTGGAGTTGTGGAGCCATGTCGGAAAGACTGTGGAGAACAGAGTGGAATGGCGACGTGCTACTGAATCCGTTTGTTCCACTAGGAACTCTAGGGACAAATAATAATTATGTAGTCATGGATTAGATCCAGGTGGTATGAAAGTCAATTAAATACTACAACGAAATACAGAAAAACAAATGTGAAGGGCCACGTCAATGCTGAAAGTGACTACTCGTAGTGGTATGAATGAAGAAGGACGTAAAACTAAGAACATAAGAAGGTGAATGTTCATCGAAGTAACGATAATGTAAAAGAAAGGGATGGGAGGTTAAAATGTGAAATTTGTGGTAGGAAAGTTGATTCTGTTATGGACCAAGGTAAACAAAGTGGATGTACATATTTCTTTTGAACACATAGGTCCGGTTTTCCTGTGTTGATCCCTATGACCTCGGCTATGGATAAGATCCGAAGTCGTACACCTTTAGAGGGATTGCACGGGACACGGTATATCACAGGAAAAGCATGATCTACATTAATCTGATGTCCGGTGTCTACCAGGTGTGAGAGGATTGCACTGTTCCCTAACCAAGATGGCACATGTTCACGAGCACGCATGAATAGAGCCCTTTGAGTACAGTCTGTGTAGCTAGCTCCACAGGACCAGTTGAACTCATAAATGCACATTGAAGTGACCATTATAGGTAACGTGTCCTTGGTTCTCTGTGTCAGTAATGGTTTGGTTGAGAAGCTGACAAAAGGTTTCGCTGCATTGAATGTCTTTTCGACCGATCTACTGAGTCGGTGTCAAGATATCCGAGGCAACATCACCTTTGAAACTTAGTGTAAGATAACAATATAGGCTTCTCAGAAATATTGTCTTTCTTTATCTTCTCTCTAGGTTTCGACATATGTTTATTTATGAAGTTAAGCGGATAACCATTTTGCTGCAATATTACCTTCAGCTAATTCACCTATTCTTCAACACAATCATCAAGACAAATGTTTCTTATTCTGTAATTCAGGCATTCATTTGACCAGGTTTCTTTGATATTGAATTGGTGTGAAGCTATGAAATTGAATATATTGGCCAGTCCATGTGTTTTTTCGAAAAATATTCTTTTTAATATACCTATCCGTTTTTGTGGTGATGAGGGCATCTGAGAAAGGAGTACTATTCCCTTATTGTTCCTCGCAGGTGAACCCCATAGCTGAGTGGACATTATTGAAATTTTTGTGATGGATTTATAACTGTAGAAACTGAAGAAGAAGTTACTGAAAACAGTTGTTCACTAAAAATAATTCATTGATATCAACTGAGGACCAGAATTAATGCATTTCCTATGAGTTGCACACGTATATAAAATTATTGATGTTAGACCAAATGGCTTTATTGAAAACATGTCATTTGGAGGAAGGAAAGCTTATGTTGAAAAGTGATCACTGATGTAGTTGGCTTGCCTAACCAGTAATTTATACAAGATATTTATCCGTTTTATAAATATCCATGCTATTGCAGGATTTCGCAGAAATACAGTTCCGCAAAACATTAATAAAAACAATCTGAAATAAGAGTATTTTTCGATAAGTTCTCTGCAGGTTCTACTTATCGAAAGTATATTATTCGTTGGAGCTATGTTTATCCACGCTATGTTGACCTACAAAGGCCTCCAACAATACAAATTAACAGTATTATTCTGTTAGATGAACACAAGCTACCGAAATAAGGTCAAAGTAGTATAAGTCTGCAGAAAATGACCATTTGATGTTTCTATCATAATCAGACAATCAATCTTTCAGCTAATAAATTCCAGCTCATTAGAACCACTTCAACCAATTTTAATTACAGCGCTATTGATTTACTTGATGTTCTTTCTCGTATTTTTTTCTAAAAGTTTTTATGCTGGTCTTCCACCATCGTTACCATATGAACGATTATTATGGACAACATCAACTTACGGTCCACTACCATATGGCACAAAGCACTTTCGAAAATCAGAAGATGAAGATACACTGAATTCTACCACTTACAAACTACCAAGATTTCGTAATGTATTACGACCAATTTCATTATTTGATAAGTTTAACAAAGAATACATACCAGGTTATGCAACGGGTTAATTGTAACATTAATATAAGTGTAAAACTTGGGCACTGTGGTCGAGTGTAATTCCATTTTAGTCTGTTTATTAGAAATATCACACAGTGAAACAGTAGCATTTACTGGATATCCAGTAAATGCTACTGTTTCACTGTGTGATATTTCTAATTAATTGTAACATTTTTCATGTTGGATTTATTACTCATATCTGATTTACAGTGTTATTATCAATATATATAACTTGTGTTTGTTTTGCTTTATAAATTTCTGAACTTCAAATTGTAAACGCAATCTGCTTAATATGATCGATGTTCCTGTGCGCCTAGTTGAAACTACTTTCATCGCCTCTGCTGATTATTTCAAACAGCCAGTTTGTGGCCTTATTATCAGGTTGTTTTCAAATCAGCAGTGTTTGTTAGTCAAATCGAGGTAATCAGAGTAGCGAATTGTCCATTACTTCTGTGGCCGATAATCGATTTAATGAGGTGGTTTCAAACTGATGTTCATCAGTGGCGTATAACGGGAAGTTATACTACATACTTGCTTGCTACTATTCTAAGTGTCGGGTGGAAATTTCGGTTTTCGTAGGAAACCATAGCGGAATGTTACAGTTGGCTCACACTTAGTTGTGCCGTCGTCACGGACTAGGAATCTTGCAAGCACTTGTTTTGGGTCAGTATGTTCCGTTAGACGCTATTTCATTGCGTGGATTTATCTAAATCAATACTTAGGACTGACTGAATTTTATCCAACAAGTTACCATGGTAGCCAGTAAAACTAAATGATGTGTCTACGTGAGTTAGGTGGCTTATTGGCTGAAATGCTCACCTCAGGATTGAGTGATGCTGTTTCAAATCACCGGGGAAAACACCAGTTTCCTAAAGCTTGCAGATACAATTTTCTGATGAGTACCAACAACCACGAAACCTATAGGTTTTACAAGTCTCGAGATCGATTAATTTTCAACATCTAACACTAAAACTGTTAGAATCGTCTGAAGTCAGTTGGCTTATTTTAAAAGACTAGTAATATTTATTATATGATGATGTTGATGAAATACTGAATTGGTTTTATTAAGAGTATGATTTCTATGAATGTAAACGTTTGAACAGTTATCTATAGACCTAGCTAACTCTTCTTATCTTTCGGGTTTTGAATTAGTGTTTGACATACACTGACGTTTTTTAATATAAAAAGTGCAAATAAATTGGGTATTTAAATGTAATTGTTCAGCTTTTAAGAATGATATCGCCAAAAATTGTCTATATTGCTAAAGTCTTTCTTTCTTTATGACTCAATGGGAATATTCAGTTATGATGTGGAAATTTTTTCTAAGAGCTACCATATGACTACTTTACGTCACATACACATCCACTGAATGATGTTTAGAATGACTTCTGTTAAGCTAAGGAAAGTATTTTTACATCTAAACGTCGGTGGTCAAAAATAAAATTGGTCGAAAATCAAGGTATAAATCGTTCAAAGAGAGAAAAGAAGAGGTAACTATGAGAAGAGGAGAACATTTTATAACGAAAAGAAGTATTAATAAATGCGTTCACTATTAATTCTTTGTAGTTCAGCTAAAACGAAGTCTCTTTGTGAATAGTTGGTAAGGGGAGTTCTCCCACCATCGGACATTGGGCAGCAGAAATAATCGAGTTACGCATCTATTCTTAAAACAAAGATGCTGAACTTGATCTAAGCTTTATGCTCCATTTGTGCTTAAAAATTCACTTACTGCTGTATCATAATAGGTTAGTTGTTCTAGGTGGTTAATTAAAAACAGTGATAACGACATCGTTTATTCTGGTAATCACTTAACACTATTTATCGACAGTATGGTGTGGTTTGCGTTTCTTCAGATTAAATGATTCTAATCGGAACATTTATCACAAGTAAGTAACAAGGAAAATGAATTCCGTTTGGTTTCCTGTCTCACTGTAGCAGCAATATCTTCAAGTTTCAGTGCTGGTATAAAAAATTCCACGTAAACATACTCTGATGATCAAAAGTTGGACAAAATATTACAGCACATTTCTTGTTGTCACTATTTTTGTTCCAAACCAAATGAATAGTTTCATTATTCAGAGGTTACACTCATTAATGTTAAGAAGGACTCCACTAAACTTTGTACCACGACTGCTTATGCGTAATAAAACGTCTTGTAGAATGCGTACTGAAAATTTTCAGTGTAATTAAGTAGTAAGTTTCATTCATATGGTAAGAAACGAGTAGTTATTTAGTCTGATTTATATGATATCAAGTCAGTAGAAGCGCACCTAGCATTGCTAACAGGGGCTACTTTAATAATCTCAAGTCCTTAAGTGGGTATCAGTGGGTTGTTTAGTAATTACAATGTCAGTTAATTGAAGTGAATCTGAAAAGCACCAGTCAGCTTCCAGTCAATAAGTGTATCTAACACACGGTCAGGAAACTGACAGTACAAAAGTACCGGTTCTTATCAAGTTCCACAAGAACGAAAGTCTACTGATTAAATTGTCAACGTCGTTGATACAACGAAGAACGTGATTAGTCCAGCTGCCATACAATAACTGAGATAGATTGCAAACAAGCAGAGCAAAGAAGCTTAGCTAAAATTTGGGTGCTGGACCCAAATAAGATTAGTAATTTCAAGAAAGCGTCGGCTGTCACAATGCATACAGTGAATGACAGTCAGTCAAATGGTGAGGATACAACAATAATCTTAGTGGTCTACAGAGTTAAGTGGAGAGTCAGACTGACTAGCGAATCTTTGTAAATTGCGTCAACACACAATATATGGAATAAAAATGAAGCAATCTACATTCCGGATATATGCAGTATCCCATTACCAATACAACCAAGGAATGTAAAGTGATAGAACTATCAGCCATATGGTCAGTTTGATGGATTATGAGTGATAAACTGTGTTCGAAACCAGATTCACAAGAGAATCCTGCTTTACGGTGTGTTATAGAATACATTTGATACACCGTTAAAACACAGATTGAAATCGTGAAAGAAGTATTGACATTATGAGGCTAGTAGGTTTGCTATTTAGACAATGACCTAGATTTTTGATTTATTCTTATTTATTTTCATGAAATAGCCAATTATGTACTTAGTCACGAATTGAGGAACCCATTCTAACGACTACAATCCATTCGATGCTTCCAACCCTGCATCAACAACAATTTAAGTGTAGTTATTTCTTAAAAAGAAAAAATGCACAACTATCAAGTTTCTGTATAAAACTAACTAATTGATCACAGACATTGAGGATAATTGTCAAGGCTGTAGGTAGGAGGGTAGGTCGGGAATCTTGACAGTTTGAAAAGAAACTATGAGACAGTCTCACAGTAGGATATGTACATACATACATACACACACACACTGTGGTATGTAGAAACGATAATAATTGATGGAGCAAAAACATTTCATCAGGAAACTGAATAAAAGAAAACATAACGGAAATATGATATTGGTCTGAAGACAGAAAATAAATAAGTGTAAACAAACTACAATTTAGCGGTATGAAAACGGAAAGTAAATAATTGGAAGAAAATAACACTGACATACATTATCACATGGTTGGTCAACCTCGTAATTTACTGTAAAATATATCACGTTTTTACATGCATATTTATGCAAAAATAGGCTACAGTGGATAAGCAGTTTCGAGTATATGCAGATATGGGCTTGTTTCTATAAAACTTGTCTGATCATCTCTTCTGAAGGATATGACCTTATAGTGTCTCAGTTTGCAATCACACAGTAATATCTATAGAACATTTCATTTGTTTTCCCAGTATTCACTGTAATTTTGTGTCATTTGTCTCAATAGGCTTGTCTTCTACGTTTCAGGAATAAGATGGATTATTTAATGCATACTTTCTTGTCTTGAACTCTTGAATATTACAAATGCTAACAGCCTGGTATGGCTGATGAAGGTAACAAATCGTGTGTACTATTCTAATAAACATAGCGGAATTCAGTTTTCCTCCATTCGGCGGCATTTTATCAAAAATTAAATATAAATATGTGAAAATATCTAGAATCTTGTCAAAATGGAATTGTTCATTGCATCTATATCATTTTCATACAGGGTAGGTATATTCAACGAAGAATCAGTTATTTGAATTGCATCAGACATGGTAATGATTTTCAATGAAGGATATTTTTCGGGACTATTAATTATAGCATCGTCAAATACATCATTAGTATGGCTAGTGAGCCTAGAATTTATGGTATTAGGAGTGTTAACATCATAAAAATCTCCATTTTTAATTGATTTAGTCAATGTGTATTGGGGATTTGTCATGGATATTCTACTGTTTACTGCATCCGGTCCATATACTGACATTTTATCATCTAAATTGTCATCTGTTTGCCAGTTGGGTATGTCATAAAATACTGGATTTGGGAAATCATACAACTCCTAGAACAAAAAATAATTAGATTTGAATATTAGTGAAAACGTTTTGTTTAGACCAATTTGATCTATTCTTAACATTTCAGATTTCTCTAATTATGCAGCTGCTTAGTTATAGTTGTCACAATCATACAATGCTACGCACCTACAAATAATGCAGATGAAGAGAGGAAGGAGGAATTCTACAGACAACTGCAATCAGCACTGGACAAGGCCTCAGTTGGTGACATCAAAATTCATTCTAATGGGTGACGTGAATGCCAAACTGGGAGTGGACAACACAGGAAGAGAACTCATTATGGGTCGAGAAGCACTAGGTGAAATGAACGAGAATGGAGAATTCTTTGCAGAATTCTGTGCATTCACGATTTGGTGATTGGAAGCACTGTGTCCCAGCACAAGGATATCCACAAAGCGACATGGATTTCACCTTATGGGCACTAGAAATCAGGTCGACTTCATCTCAATGTGAAGAAAGTGGAGATGCAGCCTACTTGACACAAGATCAAGAAGAGGAGCAGATGTAGGCTCAGACCACTATCTAGTGCGAGAAACCTAAATAAAGTTAAAAGCCTTCAAGGAAGCTGGTGACAGACCACAGTTCAAGTTCAACACCCACAACAGAAACTGAAGGACGAAACTACAAGGGACATCTTCACATCAGTCATCAATACAAAACGGGAGATATCGAGCAGCATCCCTGTGTGGATGAACACTGTAACTCTTTGAAAGAGATGTGGAAAGAAACCTGTATAACCGTATTAGGAAGGAAGAAGAAAGAAGATAAGGAATGGATCTCGACGGACACATGGAAGCCGATAGAGGAGAGGAGGATGGTGAAACAGAAGAAAGACCAGTGCAGGATGCACTACGAGAAGAGGATCTGAGTACAATGTATAAAACACTACACTGGACAAAGAGGTGAAGAAGAGTGCATGGAAAGAAAAAGACACTTCCACAACACACTAGCAAGTGAAGCAGAACAGGCTGCAGGTGGAAGAAAGAGAGACCTGACAACACTGTATCAAATAACCAGGTTCTTATCTGGGAA